CGACATCAAACCCTGGATCGAAGCGGTGAGGCTACATTTTTTTTTATTTAGCTGTTGCGGCTGTCGTTAGTCACTAGCTATTATGTAATTATGTAAGCTATTATGTAATTATGTACCCACTCGACTGATATTATTATATAATACAATATAGTGAATGTAGTTGCATTCGTTGTTTGTGTGTTGTGGTATTCAGATGGATATGGATACTGAATTGGTTTTCTTTGTACCGTACAAGTTTTGGTCGTTGTTGTGTTGTTTTGTTTGTTGTGCAGCTTCGAACAACTCTTAAAATAGCGCCTTGTACTTGGTATGTTGATATGTTTTTTGGTTTGTTTGTCTACTTCGCCGTTTTTCTCGATTTTTATCCATGTCTTTATCACGTCCCAACGGTTCTCTCATGTCTCGCAATTCGCAGCTNTGTACCCACTCGACTGTTACAATATAGTGAATGTAGTTGCATTCGTTGTGTGTTGTGGTATTCAGATGGATATGGATACTGAATTGGTTTTCTTTGTACCGTACAAGTTTTGGTCGTTGTTGTGTTGTTTTGTTTGTTGTGCAGCTTCGAACAACTCTTAAAATAGCGCCTTGTACTTGGTATGTTGATATGTTTTTTGGTTTGTTTGTCTACTTCGCCGTTTTTCTCGATTTTTATCCATGTCTTTATCACGTCCCAACGGTTCTCTCATGTCTCGCAATTCGCAGCTCACCAAGGAGTACTTCGGGGGGTTCATGGGAGAGTCCGTGGAGCCAAGCGATGTCTTCCTCGCGTTTACGGTGGACCAAGGAGGAAACGTTGTGAACGCGTGCACGGCGTTGGGCGTCCAGGTCGTCAAGTGCAACTGCCACCGCATCAACTCCGCGGTCGTGTGGGCTCTGGGCATTGCGGGTTCGGCGACGACGTGCAGGAACACCAAGATGGGAGGGCTGATGAAGAAGCTGGCAGCGTTGGTCGGCGTCTTCAGCCCCTCCGCCGTCAACAACATGCTGAAGGAACTCCAGCGGCTAGAGACAGACCTTCACCGCATCTACGAGCTCATGAGGCGAAACGACACGAGGTGTGTCTTGTGGCTTTTTGTCTTAACTGGTTTCGTGTTTTGTGGTGTTGTTTCTGGTTTTGTGTTTCTTGTATTCAACGCTGATCTAGCAATGTTGTGTGTTTCTTTGTTCCCCCCTTGCGGAACGTGTCTCTTCCACAAGATGGATCAGCCAGTTCAAGATGATGGGTCGCCTTCTGACCTTGAAGAAGCCCATCAGCGAGTACTTCCGGCGACTACCCCAGATCCCCTCGAACAAGCAGCTCAAGCGCAAGCTCTCGTCACACGAGTGGATCGTCACCAACGAGGTGTGCAGCCTCCTGGGGGACGTCTCCGAGATCACGATTCGTATTCAAGGCGCCCAGGACACCCACATCAGCCAGGCGATGTTCCTCATTCACGAGGTGATGGAGATGCTGAAGGACGAGACCCACCCAATCCGGACGGCGAACGCCATCGTCACGCCGCCCCCACCTGCACTGGACGTCATTCCCACGGAGGAGGAGGAGAACCAGCCCCAAAAGGGCGGCGTCTCCACGGAGGACATCCACGTGGAAGACCTGACCACGGAGGCGCAGGGGGTACGAAAGGTGCTGCTGGAGGTGATGGAAGAGAAGGGGGTGGGGAAGGCATTGCAGAGGGTGGAGCGCCTGTCCGCGCTGTTGGATCCGAGGCGCAAAGATCTTGACGCCACACAAGTCGGAAACGGCGATGAGGACCTCAGGATCGCTGCCGAAGCGGACTTGAAGAAGTTCATCGCCACGTTCACGGCAGAATCGGTGCCGCCCACGCCTGCGCCGGCTCCAGTGGTCGACGTACAGCCCGCGGAACCTGCTCTCAAGAAGAAGAAGTTTTCGAGAATCGAGGAACGGCGCGCTGCACGCGTGGCGGCGGCAGCCGGTGGGGGTGGCGGCGGTACGGTCGCGCCACAGACTCCCGTCACGGGCCGGCACGTGCTGATCGAGCGAGAGGTGTTAGTGTACTTGGCGGAGCAGCCGCAGGTCGACGTCGACGGCTTCAACCTGGTGGGGTTCTGGAATCGGCGAGGCACTAACAGCGTATGCCCGACGACTGGAAAGGTCACAGCTCCGGCGGAAATGCCATATCTGGCGTTCATCGCTCGGTTGCATCTTGGAATCGAGGCCACCAGCTGTCAGGCCGAGCGCAATTTTTCAGCGCTTGCCCACCTCATCGGCACCCTTCGCTGCAACATGCTTGCACGGAAGGTGGAGCGCATGATGTTGATTCGGCTTAACAGGCACTTGCTTGCCGAGGTCCGCGCGCTCGACGCTGCTGTCGCGCAGGCACGTGCTATGGCCGCCAAGAGTGCAAGGGAATCCGGGATTGCACAGGCGGACAGGTCGAACAAGGAGATCGACCTTACCTTGTAGACTAGGGTGGCCGAGAGTGCAGAGTAGTCCGCGGCTGCGCAGGAGGAGAGGTGGACCTAGTCGGTGAAAGGCATCCCTACTGGGTGGTGTGGTTTGTTGGCCGTTCATCATCAAAGTCTCTACGGTTTCATGTTCTTGTTTGTTGGTTTAAAACTTCTGGTGAATTGGCGTCTCAGCAAATTGTGCTTCGTTGTCTTTCGTGTGAGGCTGTTCAAGTGCAGCATATGTACAATCATATTCTACATGAAGTGCTTCGCATTTCTTTGGTGAGGAAAGAGGTTTGGCGTTTGTTCGGACGCCACAGATAGGAATGTTTCTGGGCTTACGATACTGCCGGAAACGGAAAACAAAGAACACTGAATCATACCGCCGACTTGTTTCCCGCCAGCGGTCCACCGACATATTTGGTACTACCGGCAACCGCCGAAGGCGGTACCGCCATGTTGCGAACCGCCGACAAAAGTACCGCCAGTATTGGCGATACCGGCAACCGCCGAAGGCGGTACCGCCATGTTGCGAACCGCCGACAAAAGTACCGCCAATATTGGCGGTACCGCCAACCGCCGAAGGCGGTACCGCCGAAGCAATAGGTACCGCTGTCCCGCCTAAAAGTTCCCGCCATCTTGCGGTACCGCCAAAACTGTTCCCGCCTAAAAAACCGTTCCCGAGGAATACCCTGAATTTATTTCAACCAATCATGTCTACGGAAATCGGTTCGTTACGTTCTACCCCTCTTGCATAGCAAGTTCTTCATTCTTGCAATCAGCGCGGTCGTGCGTGAAACGCACATTGCTATATCGACAACCAATGAAATCACGTTCTTTCTTCGGCTTGGCAGTGTCTGACTTTGAGTTGGCGTTGCCAGCGAACAAGACTTCTGGCTTTGTCCGCGCGGTCGGGCCACGGGACTTGGAATTGTCACGGTCGCGTTCATCGGTCGCCCGCTGGTTACGCCCACCACGTTGTCCAATGTATGCGCCACCGCTGGAGAAGAAACCATCCTGCCCCGAAATGTAGTTTTCGAGCGCGGCGATTCTGCCCTGGTGGTCGTCCCGGGAAAGGGTGTGAGGGCGGCGATTTTATCCCGGTGGTCGTCCCAGGCAGGGGTGCACACTGCCCGGGACGACCACCAGGGCAGAATCGCCGCGCTCGAAAACTACATTTCGGGGCAGGATGGTTTCTTCTCCAGCGGTGGCGCATACATTGGACAACGTGGTGGGCGTAACCAGCGGGCGACCGATGAACGCGACCGTGACAATTCCAAGTCCCGTGGCCCGACCGCGCGGACAAAGCCAGAAGTCTTGTTCGCTGGCAACGCCAACTCAAAGTCAGACACTGCCAAGCCGAAGAAAGAACGTGATTTCATTGGTTGTCGATATAGCAATGTGCGTTTCACGCACGACCGCGCTGATTGCAAGAGTGAGGACCTTGCTAATTTGAATTGACTGTGAACAATTTCCTTATCACTAAGGACTGGTTGCGCGTCGTCCAATTTGTCAGTCAAAACTTGGTATGGTCTGTTAAGCATGTGTTGTTGCAGCTTTGGATCGTCCGGTATATTTCGGCAAATTGGTGCAAGGTTCGGCGTTCGTTCTTGTTCATTATCGACCACGAAAAGTCGCGATAACGTATCTGGCACTACATGCAACTCTCCCGGTTTACTTGTGACCGTGAAATCGAAGGATTGCAGTGCTATAGCCCATCTGGTGAGCATATTTGACGTGTCTTGCATCGTGTAAAGATATCGCCACATCGCACCAAAGGTGGCAAGTCGTAGCCACCACACTCCGGAATATCCTCTCACCCAGAGAAAATAACTCCATAGTCTTTTGTCTTTTCTTTTTTTTGTTCAACCAAACAAATTCAAGGTACGAGCCCGAGATCTTGGCTTTCGTGGAGGAGAACGGGTCGGCGCTCTCCCTCGACCCCACCAAACCTTGCACGGAGGAGCAGAGCGGCTGGCGTGCGCTGGCGGCGGAGATTCGTAGCAGCTGAACTCGCGAACGGGAACATCGCCACCGGTTTCCGCACGGATATGTTCAAGTCTACATGCGCTCGCTCTTTATTCTATGCGGGCTTGATTTTGACAAGCTCGTAGAAGGATAGTGTATGCATATAGTCTATAGTCTAGAGTTCGGTATGTCCACATGGAAAGTGACTCAGTCTACGTTCGTTCTCGTCTGCTACGGTAGACGGAAAGTTATTGTAGTGGACTCATGTTCTTCTATGTTGTTATCACACTGTCTACCGGATTCTCTCTCCCTTTTTTCCAGGAGTTCCTGTGCTGTTTGTTGTCGTATGTTGGATTGTTCCGAGTGATATTGTTTTCGCCTGTTTTGGTGTTGCCATGCGCGGCGGAGGGGGGGGGGCGTGCGCTGCTTTGTATGCCTTAGCTGTTAGAGCACCATTGACCACACGTCCTCGAGAGGACGGAGCGTTTTTCCCACAGGACCGAATCACCGATGGCCAAACTTTCCTTCCTTCTTCGCCAAGGGTGGCTACGAGTATTCTCCCTATCCTATGAAGGCGGGGGAGAGTGGAGGGGAGGAGGTCCCTTCGGACCCCTCCTCCAACCTCTTCCTTTGTTCGTGTGGCAGCGACGTAGCGATGCATAGGAGTATGCGTCAAGGAGACTTGGGGGCTGACGGTTCGTCTTTACCCCCATGGTGTTGTCCGTGTCCATGGTGGTTTTACATGCCCGTATCAAACAGAGGTACCCTGGTACCTGGATTACCCCCATGGTGGTGTTGTCCATGGCGGTTTTACATGCCCGTTTCAAACGGAGGTACCCTGGTACCTTGTTTGCAGGATTCGGTGTGTTGGTTCGTCTTGAAGACCACAGCAGCAGTGTCGATGACCATCGTTTTTCATATCCCAAGGACGGAGGCGGTGCCCTCGTAAGTTGATTGCTGGGTTCAAGTGTGTTCTGCCTCAGACGAATTGGTGGTGTCCATGCCCGTGGTGGTATTGCATACATGCCAGTGTCGAACGGCAACACGGAGGCACTTCTTGGATTGTTGTTGGATTCAAGTGTGCGTGTGTTCGTGGCGGTGTCCATGCCCATGGTGGTGCAAGTGTGTACGGAGGCGGTGTCCTCGTATGTTGTTGACTGCTGGGTTCAGTGTGTTCGTATTTACCCCGTAGTGATGGTGTGCATGCCCAGAGTGCTGTTCAATGCCCATGTCAAACGGAGGTAGGTGCCCTGGTACATTGACTGCTGGGTTCAGCGTGTTCTTCTTTACCCCGTAGTGATGGTGTTCATGCCCGTAGTGCTAGTTTTTGGAGGAGGCGTCCTTGTAGTGACTGATGGATGCGGTCCTTGTGAAGGACCTGGTGTTGTTGGTTGTAGCAATCCGCGTAGTCGTGTAGGGATGAGGCCGGCCTTGTTCCGGGCACGCGGCACTAAGTAGTCAGAGAAGCATGAGGCAACATGAATATTCCGTTTGTTTGTCACGCGACTTGGCTGGAAAAATCCATATCAATCAGCTGTTTTTTGTTACTTTTCTTTCAGTTGCGTAAGATGGGTCTGGACCAAAGCGTTCGTGGTAGGTTGCAGTCGGAGTATAGTATCGACCTGTGACGTCTGGTCGGTTCAATTGTGAAGTGTCTCGTGTCTTCAATGTTTCACGAAAACGTTGCGACGGCGTTGTCATATGAGAGGCTGCTGTCATTCTCAGCGGCAAAAGGGTAATGGTATGTGGCAATGTCAGTATCGATTTATTTGTTATTCAAGCTTCCATAGGTATCTACTTTGACGCAGTACATTGCTTTGGATGGTGCTGTGGAATGAAGAAGGGCACACAACTATCGCGACAGTTTCAAGGTCATCGATGTATCCGTTCGCATGTAACGTGCGTAGAGAGAAATGCGGCGACTTCGACAACGTATGACTTCCTCGTCGAGGTCAGTCCTCAATAATGTGCGTGTGTCAACCAGCGGTCTTACATCTTTGAGGTTAGGACACCAACAAGAGGGCTGGCTCCTCACAAAAACAAACCTCGATTTGGACGAGGGTTCCACAGTCAGTCCACATTCGTCGAGGGCGTTTGCGAGAAAGTAGGAGTGACTGTCGGTACCCGCCATCCTGTCGGGCGACCCATGTCGCTGAATGGTCACGTGCTACCAAACCACAACTGACAACCTCCAGTTTCTTCAAATGACATCCCTAAGTCACCCGTTACCCTTCGAAGCCTTCTTGCCTAGCAACCAAGACTCGAGGGGGGGCTGTACTATGGAGATCCCGTTCATGAAGGGTACAATCATCCCAACGAACCGTCCCTTCTTTCCACAGCACCAACCCGGAAAACATTTGTAACGCGAGGTTACCTTCTCTTCTATCGTCACTGTTGTGCCAAGAATTGACTCAGCGATGATGGTGACACTATTATTAGTTTCTCTTCGCCATCCCGTAGCTGGCCACCGCTCGCAGTCTCTCCTTGACGGCGCGGCCTGGCCTCTTTGCCAGGGGAACATGAATTCCTCGACGGTGCAACTATTAACTCTTACCTTACTTCATTCTGCAACAAGAGCAACGCGGCAAAAAGCGCGTGCTATTACAAAGGGTTGGAAGTGCACAAAATACAAAATACCGTACTACGTCGAAGAGTCTAAACCTTCTACCCTTACTCTTCGTGCACGAGGCTGCCGGACTCAACAAGTACGCCAACATCAATTCGGCGTCAAATCGTATAGAAGATTCTCGAAGCTGCCAGAATGGTTCCACCGGAAAACGGAAAGACTCGGGACAATCAACTCCGCGTCAAGGCGAATAGAAGATACTTGAAGCTGCCAGAATCGTTCCATCGCGTAAAACTTGACAAAAGGGAACCTACCACAGCTTCGGCACCCTGTAGCCATCAAACCGCCACTTCTCGCCGAAACCAACTGCCGCCGCCGCCGCCGCCCGCGCACCCCCAGCCAGCCCCCCCGCCAAAGACGCCTCCATAAGCCCGTCGAAAACCCTTGAGCTCAGCGCCGCCGGGATGTATCGAGCGAGGGTAGAGTCTCGCGCCCGAACGAGCCACTCCGGCCGTCGAAGCTGCCCCAAGCCCTGAGACACATCCGAGAGGACGGATAGCAGAAGAGCCCTGCGTACGTGTGAACAAAAACACATCCGTTAGTATTAACCAATGTGAAAGGCAAGTGAAGACTTCAACCCTTTCCCTTCGCCTGGTGTGGTTGTATCCCGAACGGGTGGTCTTTCTGCAATTGTGAACTTTCTAAAAACCGCGTGCCAGAACGAAAAAAATACGTAGTATACAAATATATCGCACAAACACACGCACGCACGCGCACATCTTGGGAAGAAGGCCATTTCGGCTTTTTTCAGACGGGTTTAGCTGCTTGGCTGGGGTTTTGGAGTATAGATCAGATGCGGCATGCGTAAAAACAATATCCAAGGCGTCCCTAACATTTGGTTTTCCCCGGGGTGGTCTGCGGCAACACACATTAATGTCCACATCATGAATTGTGTGAGTGCCTTGGACGAAGGAAAAGGGGCAGGAAGAAAGACCGCAACAACGCTGGGGCCGGTTGTGTGGGCAGCCGCACCGCGAGAGTGTTGGGACTCTTTGGGAATTATGCATGTCTGTGGAGATCCCCTTAGTAAGGGCGCAACCTCTCCAACGTCGACGATATATCATATCCCGACCCCCACATGTCAAGGTTCATCATCTTCCGCCAACGATAGCCTTTGGAACTCCCCCGCATTTTTGGTGTTAGCGCCGGCAGCAAGGCGGTCTTAGACGCCTTCTGTTTTGGAGGTATACTGCCGTCCGAATTCATGGCATGGGCAGGAGTGATACTATACTAGGCGCCGTACACGGTGATACTGATGTCTAGCCCTCTGCCTCTCTATGGCAAGGTGCCTTACCGACGATGGGCCAGCGGCCCCCTGTGTAGCGATTGTACAGTGACCACAAAAACGCGAGGCAATACTGCCGCACACCGACCAATAGTCGCTGTATCGTCAATAACCGTGCCGTGTCCTGAATAGGCGATGCTCTGTAGAGCAACCACAAAATCTTGGTACAACTGGTGCACCCCGACCAGTAGCCGTTATACCGTCATAATCGTGATCTAATGCGCTGAAAAAGGCGACCGCAATCGCTCCTGACACAAAAGGGTCCCCGCACTGGGCCTAAAGAACCACTTCTGTAATCCGATCCAGCCTCTCTTACCTCTGCAGGCGTTCCTCGTCGTACCGCGAGAGTGCTTCTTCGAGCCTGTCCCCTGCCTCTCCCGCTGTCACAGCGGCCGATTTCTTGTTCTGCCTGTCGTTGAAGTCTTTCAGGTGCTGCGCGAGAAAAAAAGCGTCCTCGAGAGCCACTCCGGCACCCTGGGCAAGAACGGGATCGAGCTGCGAGCACAGTCACAGAAGCAGCGGCGGGTTTGTCAGGATTTAACAGCAGCGCTTTGGACCGCCCTGCGGGAAGGCAAGACATTACATACCATGATGCTTGTGTGTGCACAGAGCACATGTGAGAGGGGACGAACAAGGGCGGTTAAAGCATGATACACACGACCACAAAAATCATGCTTCAGCCGTCGGCAGCAACGGCAGAGAGCGCCTTGCAACAGCTCCCACACGGTTCAGGTTGAGGTGAAAATATAGAGACCGCCTTCGCGAGAATATTGCCATCAATCCATGAACCAGAGAGGGAGGTTCGTATCCCTATCTCAAACCCGTACCCCCTTCTACGTACAACCCAGCAAATATTCTCGCTAAGGCTACTGACCCATATCGCGGTCTACGCGGTCAAACACGATAATGACACCGCTTCCGCCACCGGGTGGACATGAGAAACTCTCACCGTGTGCGCCGCATCCCCGACAAGCACAACGCCTCTTCCTCCTCCTCCTCCTCCTCCTCCTCCTCCTCGAGATTGCCGTCGGGCGGCACCGACGGCGGCAGCGATATCACGGAGTCCCCGCCGACTCATGGCCCTGGCGTCCTCCCGCGTGATGGAGCCTTCCGCCGTGGCGCGGAGAAGGCTGCTCACCGGCGCGTGCCAGCCCCCAAACGTCTCCAGCAAGAAACGCTTGTTCTTATGGTTTTGTTCGCCTTCGCCGCCGCCGCCGCCGCAGGAAGGGGAGTGCTGATCCTTATCCGCGGGGCCCCCATCGGCGCCGACGAGCCCGTCTTCCACGGTTGCGAACCACATCTTCACACGGAAGGGAACGAGAGCAAGGGTAGGGTTTAAGGAAGGGTCAGCGGGCACAGTTGCTGGTCAAGAAAACACCTAGCCATGAGAATTGATTGCGTGGGCGAAGAGGGGCGATCGCAAAGCCAACCGAGAGCCCACCGCCCGGGAGAGCAAGCAACGGAACTTACTGCAAAAAACAAAAGCCAAGAGAGCCCCCGGGTGACACTGAGCCTTCGATCCTTCTACAGGCGCAACGAGCCCTCCTCGACAGATTCTCATGTGTAGATTTGTCTCAGTCTACCCTCCCTCTGCCCCAGTAACCTTCGCGAGCATGTTAAAAAAATGGTTGTAGTAGGAGGTGCGGGGAAGGGACAGGGGTACGACACACGAAACCCCCCTCGATGTGTCATAGATCAATAATAAAACCCTTCGCGAAGGCGGTCCCTTCCCCCACGGGGCTGCAGTGGCACCAACGAAGTCACCGCCCGCCGACAAACGCCAACCTTGCTTCGTTTTTCTCTGAGAGGGATCTCTGATACCACGCACCCGCTCATCCCCGGCGAGAGGGACAGAAGCGAACCGAAGGCCCGGGCCCCACGTCTGAAAGGAAGCGAGACCCCACCCCCCCTCCTTGTCGATCCGCGGTGCCCCCTCAGGCGAACACCTGCTGCTGCTGGTGCTGGTGCTTCTGCTGCTGCAAACCCCGCGGTACACCGCGTAGCCTCGGCGGCGCGGACCCACCCCCGCCGCCGCCTCGCTACCCCCCACCGCCCCTGTCGCCGCAACACTACGACCGGCATCCCCTCGACGGCCGCCCGTTGCTCCCGCATCTGCCGCTAGGATAACCCTGTCGCGCACGAAGGAGTGCGACCCGTCCGCTCCCACGAGGAGGTCGAAGTCCGCCTCCCACCCCCCGTCACCGGCGCCGGCGGCGCAGAAGCGGCCGGACACGGTACCCCGGCTCTTCCCCGCCACACCAGCATCATCGTTGCTCGCACCACACTCCCAGTTGATGTCTTCCACGTCGCCTTCGACAAATTTGGTTTCTGCTGGGAGCACGGAGCGCAAGGCCTGGTTCGAATCGAGCAACCATCCGAGGGGGAGTGGGGGGGGCGTACTCATGTTTTGCCTGCCTTAGCGGTTAGACCACGGGAGGGGGGGTTACTCCTGTAGGAGTTGTGGACGAACTGGGCAACAAAGCTTATCCTGATGGCGCGGCTCCCACTTGGGCGCAATGAATCAGCACCTATCAAACACACCCCGTTGCTTTGGAACTTGTGAGATCACCATCTCTTTGTCGCTTTTCGATGTTCCATCTTGTCGAACACGAAACGAAACGAGTAGTAAACTGACGCCCGGAAACAGACGGGACGAAAGAAGAAAACATAAAAGTGAAACTACCAACCTCAATCGTCTACCCTCTCCACTACGGGGCGACAACGCCGACACCCTCTACCTGCGCTCAAGCGTAACGCCGAACCCCTCCCCACAACCAACACAAGGCCACGCACCTCCATGAGCTTGGACTCCCGAACGAAGAGTACACTTGCGCCTCCTCCCCCCGCCCCCCCCTCCCCTCCGCCGCCTAGCCTACCGTCTTCGCTTTTGCCGCCGGACTCGTCCGAACATGGCTGCCCTCGCCGCATTGATGCCGCGCCCCGCTCTTGGAGGGGTCGGGTAGGGGTTGCCAGCCAGTTTCCGGCGGTGTCCCTATACCCGGCTTCGCCCATGTACCTGGCGGGCGGTGGCCGTAGAGGCAAAAAAACGCGGTGGATTCATTGTCCTGGACTCTTACGTGTGGATAGAAATGGGTTTGATATTTTACAGCAAAAAAAATAAGACACTCGCTGTTGCTATGGCTACCGTATCCGTGTTTCATCCGGAGGGTACGATAGCCTCCCCCATGAAGCCCGCTCATGGGGTCCCAGATCATGGCCTGCTTTGTGTTCTCAACCGCGCTTGGACTGACGTCTTTTTATTGGTCAGCCCGTGGGCGCGGTCGATGCCAATAATGAAACACACACACACACGCACGCACGCACGCACGCACGCACGCACACAGGAACGCCGGGCACAGCAGTAGTAGCCGACAACAGAAGAAGTGGCCGTCATGGTCGTCGACGAGGTTGTTGTAGCATGCATAGCAGCGGTAGTTGTAGGAGTCGAGGAGGCAGTACGCGATGGAGTCTGGGGAAACAGATATGCGTCGAGTGTTTACACCTGAAAAAAAGCCAGCCCCCCAAGTGGAGTGCGAGCAGCTATAAACTCCACGCAGAATTTATCGACATGTATATACACAATTCCGCCGTGCTCTTTCGTTGATCAACGCGTACCTCCAGAAATCCGTGCATTTTCGTTCCCATCTCTCCTGACAAGCTTCTTTTGTACTGACACACACCTTCCCACCTTCCTTCCGGTACCTTCCCACCTTCCTTCCGACTCCAATTGCCGGAGGACGCCGAGGCTCTCGAGACAGGCCAGACCGTGCGTCCATATTCCCACTCCGGGGTCGATGCTCCCGCCTGTTGCACTGGAACTCCGATCCATGCTTTCGGCTGCGGCCTTGGTCTTCTCCCCCGTCGTTGCGATGTCCCTGCCGCCACCCACACCCCCCTTGCCTGCTGCTACGGTCACCCTCAGTCCGAGACGGGCGAGGCAAGCAGCCGTAGCTAGACCTATAGGCACGCAGGGAAAGAGGGCAAAGCAAGGTACATTTGTGAAGCCCAACTACTTATTGCCCTTGGGTGGCGTAAGTACCACACTTTCTCAAGCAACCGTAAGACCGTTCAAAATTATAGAACAGCGGTAGATACCACACACACGCGTGGCAATTTTCTAATTCAGAAAATCAAACCATCCGCACCACTACTGATGGAGTCCGCGCAACGTAGACGGAGCCCCCTTGTCACATGGCCACGCACACACGCACACATACTGCACAACTTGAATGCCTCGCTCAGCCATGCAAGACCGTGAAAAAACACCACGGAGGTGGAGGGGGTTACGAGCCCTACTCGAGGCAACCGCGGCTCAGGCTGCAGCTGTGGCGGCGGGTCCACGCTCCGCCACGTCTCTTCTCCGGCACAAGGACAAGAACTCGCTGTAGGGGCACGCTTGACCCCCTGCTTCGCAGAGGTTTAGCCTCATTTTGCTCTTTGTTGTTTTTATCTCTTTTCGCTCCTTTATTGCGGCATAACCTTTCTGCTTAGCTCTCTTGGCCAGTCATATGCTCTTGAGGAGATTCATACTGAGAAATATTCTTTTTTTTTTCGCTTTATGATCGGTTCGTGATAATTTAGCTTCGGCGTCTTATGCTTCTCTTCAAGGCCTCTGTGCGTTTCATGAACTGTAACCTATACTACCAGGTTTGATTTAGCTGATGAAGCAAAATGGGCCTCAGCCCTGCTGCACCACCCTCAGCAGCGGCCGTGCATGATTCACACGCATCTCCAAAACCCACGCAACAAAATCTACTGCTGAGACTCCGACCGCACCCTCTACTGTGCCTACCAAAGCGCGCGTAGCTCAGGCCTGCGCAGCAGAACCTACACAATACTGCTACGACTCACACACCTGCGCCTGCTACCGCATGTGCTCTTGGGGCCCAGGCAACACCACCCGCAACACGCTACCGAAACCCCCTCGTCGTCACACACCCTGCAGCGGGGTTCGTGCGGACGCCAGTCTAGCACACGGGTGACGTTACGATATCATAGCCGGTGGTGTCCTGCGTGTTGCCACATGTTTATATGGGAGGGGCGACACATGGATTATCACCCCCACGAAACAAAGTGACCCCCACCCGTGCGACGATTACGGAGTTTTCGTTACCACACGGGTGTAGTCGAATCCCACGCTGTTTAGAAAGTGCGCGGTATATCACACACAACATCAAAGGAAGGCTACAGCTGTAACGCTTTCGCTCTATTACGCCCCCTCGAGATAGTCCGCAGGGGGAAGAGGCCGAAGAATGTTTCTTTGTTCGTCATTCCGTCGCACTACCCCCCGGCCTGCCCCCCCCGGCCCTGGGGTAGGCCGAGGTTCCGCAAGTGGATCTAGACCTCGGAAGACCACCCAGCAAAGACGGATATATACGGCCCCTAGCACTGTTGAGAGGGGGATCCTGAGTTTGGCGGTTGGGAGTTACTACTGTCGTGAGATCGGGGTAGCTCGTGAGCCGCCACCTTTGGTAGCTGCAAAATGGGACTGGATCCTGACGCCTCGGCTTGGAAACCGGGGCTATGCAGCAGCCGAGAGCACGGTGAGGGTGGCGGAGCGACCGCACGCCGTGGGGGTATGCCCCAGAGAGAGGAAAGGAGAGAGTCCAGAGATGGAGGGCCGCACTGCTCCGGGACAAGAACACCACTCTAGATTTATAGGAAACAAGGCAAGAACCGGGGTAACTATCACGTTGCCCGCGTGTTCGCAAGAAAATAGCAAAAAAACAAAAAAAGAGGGGAAGATGGAGGAAAAGGAGGGGTCGGGCGGCACGTAGGCTAGCTAAGAGAGCAGCGCGCGCCGCGCGAAAGAGACAGCAGGGTCAATTTCTTAGGGTAGCAACCTAGAATGTGCGGACTTTGGCTGTAAACGGGGCCAATGGATACGGGCGAGCCTACAGCGTTCTACACGAGGCAGCGAGACAAGACGTATCGGTGGTAGGAATGCAGGAGACACGGAGGGCAGGTCGAACGGAATTTGCAGCAGCGGGTTTCCAGGTGTTCTGCTGTGGCACGGAGACTGGGGGGGTCCATGGTGTGGGGATAGCCGTCAAAGAGTCACTTTGCAAGACATCCACGTTCACGACGGAGTTTATCGACGAATCCAATTATGGCCATGAAATTTATGTTGGCAGGCCACCGTGGAACGGTCAACTTCGTAGCCGCGTATGCTCCAACCGAACCTTCAACCGCCGACAGCAAGCGCGTGTTCTGGGG